CTCGCTCACCCCCCCCCTTGCAGCCGCAACACTGTGTGTTGGGGGGGTTAACACACCCGCCAACGGCAAAACTTTCGTGGATCGAATGCAGACACCCCCTCCCCCCGAGTCTTCCAAGGGGCCAGGCAGAGGGAGCCTGGGCTGATGCCCCACGGTGGGAGGAGTGGGGGGGCAGTGCCCAAGCAGTGCTCTCCAGAGGCCAGTGCAAGCAGGTAGCAAGGGTGACATGAGCAATCAGGCTGGACAGGCAAGCCCGGGTACAGCCCCCAATAATCACTGGATGCCTCTGCCCTTGGGGAAGCCGTGGATTAGCACAGAGCCCCAGAGCGAGGGGATGGGGGAATAGGAGGCCCAGCCGGGTACGTGTCAGATCTCTGGGCTCCAGCTTCCAGCGAGGTGGGAAGGGAAGTTGGCTGCTCCCAAGCCATGGGCAGCACAGTGGGCACCAGGCAGGAGTGTGCGTCGGGGCCTGGCGCCACCTGCGCAAAACTCATTCGCTCTTGCTGGGGGCAGACCTGCAAGGCTGCAGCAGAGAGCGGATCAGCCTCTGTCCCAGAGAGGGCACCGAACCACATCACCCCCGGGCAGCCAGGTGAGCCGCCCGGCTCCCCCCCGGCCTCAGTGCAGAGCTGGCAGAGGCAGCTCACCCTGGGCAGGGCACAGGGCTGCTGCTGGCTCTGGCAGCCACTCCAGAGGAAGTGGTCCCCCCCCCATGGCGTGTGACTCACGGCTGGCATGATTGGCGCCTCTGCTGAGGCAGCAGGCAGGGGCTGGCTCCTGCAGTCACTGAGCACCCCCACGCTGGTGCTTGGGGCAGGCAGCTGTGACCCCCACACAGCAGAGTGAGCTCTGAGCTCAGCAGATCCTGAGCCCTGTAACCCCTGGCCCTAACCCTCCCCCCACAGTTTCTGCCTCTTCTAGCCCCTGCCTCTCCTCCCCACCCAGCCCACAGGCCCTGCCCCTCCCCACACAGCTTCTGCCCCATCTGGCCCTGCCTCTAACCTCCCACCCCGCGGAGCAGGGCTGCCCTCACTGCCGCCAGGGAGAGGACAGTGGCCCCACCGTACAGGAGTCACCCCCAGTTCCCAGCCCCAGTTTTCCTCTGGGGTTTTGTAGCAGCTCCTGTGCCACACAAGGCAGCGTCCAGCCTGGGCTGAGCACCACAGGCCCCGTGTGAGGGGCAGGGCTGCCAGCCCAGCCTCAGAGAGCCTCACAGGCTTCCCTAGCCTAGGTCCAGTCCTCCCTCCCGCATCTCAGGGGCAAAGCAGCAGCTGTGCTGCTACCTGGGCAGCGGCTATAAGCTCTCGCCACCCAGCAGCCGCCTGCCTGCCACCAGCATGCCCTCAGCTGCAGCACACCTCTGCCCCCACCGCCCAGCCCCTGGCTGCTCCTTGCTCACCCACAGGGAAGGAAGATGAGGGAGGTTTTGCTTCCCTCCGTGGGCTGCTGGGCTAAGAGCTACGCCGCTTGCTTAGAGTTGGCAGAGGATTCCTCACTGCTGCCGACAACGGACCCCTCCGCGTGAGGAGGCACAGGGCCAGCAGCCTTAGGCTAGGCCAGCTCCCTGTGGTTAACCCTAGCTCCCTTTCCCAGCAGCCTGGCTGGCAGCGATGCTAGAGTACAGCACTGCCAAGAAACCAGGTCAGACCAACATGGCCCCAACAGCCACTACAAGCCCCTGGGCCCTGACTTTGAAACCCTCATAGCCTGGCAGGGTCAGTTGGCCCTGACCTGATTCCAACTCCACCATCCCATCCCCACAGGGCCCCTTCGCTCTGAGTGCTGGCCTGGCCAGTGCAGGGAGAGGCGCTTGGGCCCAAGGTACATGTGGGGGGAAGCATGGAGGTGAGTATGGGGAGGTCTAGACCCCTTTGGGCATCAGGCTTCAGCCCCCAGGGGCTCAAGTCAAAATTGCTGCTCCAGGGCGACTGGCAGGGCTTGGTCTCCGTTAACACTTCCAGGTCAAGCCGGCCACTGGCAGCGGCTAGGAGCCTGCACAGGCTGGGGCAGAGATTCTGAAAGCACATGACAGCTCCAAGCAGAACTAAGCTGCACCAGAGAAGCTGACTGGCCCCTTAGTCCCACTCCCTACAGCACTGGGGACAACTGGCAAGCTGCCTGAGCGCCAAGGCCTTTCCAGAGCCTGCCAGGGGCAGCTGGCGTTTGTGCAGTGCCTGCTGCACTACCCGGCTAGGTAAGCAACAGGCACAAGGGGCAGTACGAGACTGGAAGCCCTCGCTAACCAGCTCCCTGCAGGCTCCAGGCAAAGTCCGGTTTGAGGAAGTTCGTTTTCCTGACCGCAGCGTTCACAGCCTGTGGTTTGGTTGTGGCCTGATGCTGTAAGACTCCCACTAGCACAGGGCCTGGTGTCATGCAGCCACAAGGGAGCAGAGACTCCTGAGTTCAGGCCGAGCTCTGGCAGGAGACCGGCTGAAGCAGGAGCAATTGACACTAGCGCCGACTGCGAGTTGCTAGCCCAAGCAGTGAGGTGTCGAAAAGACAGTGCAGCCGGGTTCCATGCTGATCTTCAGTTAATCCAAACACTGGAAATGGATTTCTAGCCTCCTGCAATATACTCACAACAGAAGCCATTCCCTGATAGATTTCAGCTTGGTTGATAAGACCCCCACCCACCCGCTGCCACCACCCTGCAGCAGCTACTCAGGAGAAAAAAAGTTAGCTCATTTGCCCTGATTTTTAAATATTTTATTACATAATTTTCATGGCACTGCAGGAGTAACAGAAAACCATTCCCAGGTCCTAGAGCCCAGCCTGAAAAATATACATTTTATTTATATACACGTTATGAACCCCTCCCAAATGCACCCAATGGCAGGTCTTGGCTGAAAGCAGGAAACTAGTCTCTCCATTAAGAAAATAGATATGAAGCTAAATCAAAAATAGTTAGAAGAATTACTGTCAGGGTTCACTTCTCAGCTGCGGGTTCTCTAACAGCTCTGCGGGAGGCATCCAGTTCAGGTCCGTCTGTGAAAGGCGAAGAGGTACAGTGTATAAAAAGGCAGAGTATGTCGGGTGTGTCCTGGTTCGCTTGGTCTGGTTAGGAGATGGCCTTCGCTTCAGGTAGGAACGCCTCCCAGTACTTCACCAGCTGCAGAGACCACAAGGAGACAAAGGACAAGCCGTCAGCAAGCTGCCAGCCAAATTCCCAACTGGGATCTCGTGCTTTAAGGAAGACACCTGTTCCCTCTACAAGGGGGAATTTGTACCTGGTGGTACAATGGAAGCAGTGACGGACCAGGCAGACCTTGGGGGGTGTTGGTAGCCTGGCTGGATACAAAATTGCCTTGCTTAGCTACTCCAATGTGGGCTACAAGTTTCCATGTTTAACTCACCCATTTTTCCTATCACAAAACAGACAGCTCGACCGGCTCCAGCCACTGGAGAGCTGGTCAGGTCTCTGGTTTACCAGGGCAGCAGGCTGTCTGGGAGGCTTAGTGGCTGGTGACCCAAGATACAGCCTCCTACGTCTGGCTGACTGACAACTGATGCCAGGAGCCAGTCAGCAGAAGGGCGGATGAGCTGCTGGCCAGGGACTCACCTGCTGTTGTGAGTTTAAGAGCGTCTCAAGGTATTTCGTCACATTGTTCCGGAAGTCCCTGGATTTCTCCTTCTGCAAGAGAGACAGGCAGTTAGCTCAACCTCCCGTGCTCAGCAAGTGGCTGCTCCCCTGCTGCCGGCAGCACCCAGGAAGCATCGCTTCATTTCCAGCTCCTGTTGGCCCCCTCGTGGTCTACGCCACAAGCAGAGAAGCTGCCCTTGTACCAACCGGCAGCCATGGGCGAGACAGGGATCGGCAGTGGCTGGGAGGAATCCCCAGCAGAGCTGTCAACGGCCTGAAGGCACTCCACAAGGTGCCTGCAATAAGCTGTGGGACCCTGCTAGCCTGGTGCCCCATTCCATAGCCAGAGCATGCCGTGGGGCCGGCCTGAACCTGCATCTGAGCAGCCACCAGAGCAGTACAGGCAGGGGCTCTGCTGGGAACCAGTTGGCCCCTGCCCACTCAGGTGGAATCGAGGACACGGGAGCTGGCAAGGTTTGGAGGAGTCCCTCCCGCGCCCTGCACCACTCATCCCAGAGCAGCGGCGGGGGAGGCGGGCGGCCCCCGAGGGGGGGGGGGGAGCA